CTGAAATGAAAAATTCCCTAAATATAATTAGATACTGCATATTAGAAGTGAGACAGTGTAGATCAATGAACTTGAAAACACAGCAAAAGAAACCATCCAAACTGAAGCACAGAGAACAGAATTTCAGTTATGCAGGATGAATAAGTTCTAGAGATCTAATATAAAACATAGTGACTATAGTTCATAATACTATATTGTATACTTGAAATTTGGTAAGAAAGCAACTCTTACCACACATGAGAAAAGGAAAAGAGAACCTGAAACTAATACAATACTGTATGTTTAACTACACTGAAATTTTTTTAAAAATTAGAATGGCTAATAAAGACTTCAGTTAAGGGGCACCTGGGTGGCTCAGTGGGTTAAGCTTCTGCCTTCAGCTCGGGTCATGATCTCAGGGTCCTGGGATCGAGCCCCACATTGGACTCTCTGCTCAGCAGGGAGCCTGCTTCCTCCTCTCTCTCTGCCTGCCTCTCTGCCTGCTTGTGATCTCTCTGTCAAATAAATAAATAAAAAATCTTAAAAAAGACTTCAGTTAAAAAGTAAAAAAAGGGGCGCCTGGGTGGCTCAGTGGGTTAAAGCCTCTGCCTTCAGCTCAGGTCATGATCCCAGGGTCATGGATCGAGCTCCACATCAGGCTCTCTGCTCAGCAGGGAGCCTGTTTTCCCCCTCTCTCTCTGCCTGCCTCTCTGCCTACTTGTGATCTCTGTCTGTCAAATAAATAAACAAAATCTTAAAAAAAAAAAGTAAAAAAAAAGGAACAGGAAAATATAAGGTGATAAGTATGTTAATTAGGTTGATTTGGTAGTCATTTCACAACATATATCAAAACCTCACATTATACACTTTAAATCCAAACAATTTTTATCAAGTATACCTCAATGAAGCTGTAAAACAAAAATGAACTTAACCACAGAGAGAAGAAAGATGGGAGATCAAAATTAACAGAGCCTCAGTGACCTGTGGGACAATATTAAAGTGGTCTTACATGCATGTTATTGGAGTCTCAGAAAAAGAGCAGGAGAGTATCTGAGGAAATACGGCTGAAAACATTCATTTTCATGAAAGCTGTAATCCCACAGATTCAAGGAGTTCAATGAATTTCAAACAAATTAAACACAAAACTCCAAAAAAATACACAATAATCAAATTACTGGAATCCCATGATGAACAGAAAACTGTAAAAGCCTCCAAGGAAAAAAAGACACATTACGTATATATATATGGGAACAAGGATAAGAATGACTACTGACTTCCCATCAGTAATAGTGCAAGCAGATAATTAAACATCACCTTTTAGATGGTAGGGAAAAAATTTTATACTCAATAAAGTATCTTTCAAAAATGAAGGTGAAAAATAGTTTCAGAAAATGAACACTAAGAGAATAAATGCCAGCAGACCAGCACTAAGAGAACTATTAAAGGAAGTTCTTCATGCAAAGAGAAAACGTTATTAGATAGAAACTTACTTCTACAGAAAAGAATAGGACTAGGAATTATTAATATATGTATAATTATCAAAGACTTTCACAGTAACATTTAATTTTAAATATAACTGACTGTTAGGGTGCCTGGGTGGCTCAGTCAGTTAAGTGTCTGCCTTTGGCTCAGGCCATGATCCCAGGGTCCTGGGATCGAGCCCCACATCAGGCTCCCTGCTCATTGGGGAGCCCGCTTCTCCCTCTGCCTCTGCCATTCCCCATGTTTGTATTCTCTCTCTTGCTCACTGTCTCTAATAAATAAATAAGTAATCTAAAAGAGAGAGAGAGAGAGACAGAGAAAGCTAAAAATAAATAAAAATGGTTTAAAATTTAAAAAAGAAAAAGAATATGAAAATGAATATGATAATATTCAAAGATTGCCTTGATACAGTATATTTATAGTATAAATACATATAACGCACAATGTAAGCCCTACAGTAACCACTAAGAAAAAGGTGAAGTTATAGTTAATTGGATAATAAAAGAGAGAAAATGGAGTACTAAAACAGTCAATGTAAAGACAGAAAAGAGAGAAAAAAGGATCAAAGAATGAATTATACAAAGAGTAAAACTGCAAAACAGGAGTCTAAAAACCAACCATATCTCCAATTACATTACATACAAATAGGAAAAAATCTAAAGATTCCTTTTGAAAGTTGGAGATTGTCAACCTGGATAAAAAAAGAGATTACAACTGTATGTTATCTTACCAGAGATGCAGCTTGTAAAGATGTAGATAGATTTAAAGTGGGAGGAAAGAAAAAGAAGCACCATGCAAATAATCATCAAAAAATAGCTTGGCTACATCAATTAGTCAAATTAATATCAAAGTAGACTTAGGAACAAAGAATATTACCAAATATAAAGACAAATATTTCATGACTATGAAAGGATCAATTCATCAAGAAGACAATAATCTCAACTTGTACACACTTAATAACAGAGATTCAAAATATGTGCAGGGGGTGCCTGGGTGGCTCAGTGTGTTAGGCCTCTGTTTTCAGCTTGGGTCATGATCTCAGGGTCCTGGGATCGAGTCCCACATTGGACTCTCTGCTCGGCAGGGAGCCTGCTTCCCCCCTTCTCTCTCTCTGCCTGCCTCTCTGCCTACTTGTGATCTCTCTCTGTCAAATAAATAAATAAAATCTTAAAAAAAAAATTTACAGGGAAGGAAAAATTCTTCCTTTACTCTTAAGGCCTTCCAGCTGGACTAAGAATTAAATTCACATCAGACAGATTAACAAGAGAAAAAAAAGTTTTATTACTTACACACATAGGCCCAATAATGTAATTGAAACCTAAAGAAGTGAACAAAGCAGTTTTTATACTTTTTAGAGACAATAAATCTGTGGGGTATTGACAGGACAAAGGAAAAGTAACTTTAGGAGCTTAAACTAGTAAGGAATTCTAAAGAGAATTTGGGCTCTGATAATAACTTAGTAAACCAGTAACAAGGATCGTTTATATATTCTTCTTGGGTCTAAATTTCCTATCTGGGTGACACAGATGTCTTTTTACCTCCTGGTACAAGGAGGGTACCTTTCAAATAAGAGATTTATTTCCTGCTTTTAGGGGGACAGAGAAGGGTCAGAAAAGTCCTTGTATAGCCTGTCTCTTAAGTAACTTTTATTTAAAATCATCAATATGCCAGGGGCGCATGGGTGGCTCAGTCAGTTAAGCATCTGAATCTTGGTTTCAGCTTGGGTCATGATCTCAGGTTCCTGCAGTTGAGCCCTGTGATGGGATCCCGGCTCAGAGGGGAGTCTGTTTCTCTCCCACCAACCCTCCCCCTTCTTGAGTTCTCTCTCTCTAAAATAAATAAATAAATCTTAAAAAAAATAATAAAATAATCAAGATGCCAAAGTGGTACATTTTGGGGCAGCCTGCCCTTGGCTCTTCCTATACTTCCTATACTTGAAGATTTCAACAAGCTTTCTTAATAATTGACAAAACAATTGCACAAGTTAAAAAGAGTAGGGAAGACTTGAACAACACTAACCAATTTAACCTAACTGACATTAATAGAACACTACACTCAACAACAGCAGAATACAAATTCCTTTCAGGTGGACAAGGAACATTTACCAAGACAGAAATCATATAAAGTATGCTCTCTGGGGGCACCTGGGTGGCTTAGTGGGTTAAGCCTCTGCCTTCAGCTCAGGTCATGATCTCAGGAGCCTGGGATCGAGCCCCGCATCGGGCTCTCTGCTCAGCGGGGAGCCTGCTTCCCCTTCTCTCTCTGCCTGCCTCTCTGCCTACTTGTGATCTCTCTCTCTCTGTCAAATAAATGAATAAAATCTTTAAAAAAAAAAGTATGCTCTCTGATCACAATGGAATTAAATTAGAAATGAGTAATACAAAGATCTGGAAAGTCCCCAAATAGTTGGAAATTAAATAACGTACTTTTAAAAAAAAATTTATTTATTTATTTATTTGACAGAGAGAGAGAGAGAGAGACAGCAAGACCAGGAACACAAGCAGGGAAAGTAGGAGAGGGAGAAGCAGGCTTCCTGCCTTGCAGGGAGCCCGATGAAGGGCTCGATCCCAGGACCCTGGGATCATGACCTGAGCTGAAGGCAGACACTTAACAACTGAGCCACCCAGGCACCCTAAATAACATACTTTTAACAACTCACTGGTCAAAAAAGAAATTACCAGGGAAATTAGAAGATATTTAAAGATAAATGCTAATTAATATATAACCAAATACATAAGTAAATAAATAAAATACAACACATTAAAATGTGGAGGATGCACTTAAAGCAATGCTTGAAAATAATTTATAGTTTTAAATACATTGATTTTAGACCTTTCTTTTTTATAATGTATTTAAAGGTCTTAAATCAATCATTTAAGCTTCTACTTTAAGAATTTAGAAGAAAGGGCACCTGGGTGGCTCAGTGGGTTAAAGCTTCTGCCTTCCACTCAGGTCATGATCTCAGGGTCCTGGGATCGAGCCCCACATCGGGCTCTCTGCTCAGCGGGGAGCCTGCTTCTCCCCATCCCCTCTCTCTGCCTGCCTCTCTGCCTACTTGTGATCTCTGTCTGTCAAGTAAATAAATAAAACCTTAAAAAAAAAAAAAAGAATTTAGAAAAAAAGTACAAAATTTTTTTTTAAGATTTTATTTATTTATTTGACAGAGAGAAAGAGATCACAATTAGGCAGAGCGGCAGGCAGAGAGAGAAGAGGAAGCAGGCTCCCCGCTGAGCAGTGAGCCCGATGTGGGGGTCCATCCCATGACCCTGGGATCATGACCTGAGCCAAGGGCAGAGACTTTAACCCACTGAGCCACTCAGGTGCCCTGAAAAAAGTGCAAATTAAACAAAACAAAACAGAAGAAAAAAGATAGAGAAATCAATGAAACCGAAGATAGGCAATCAATAGAAAAAAACCTGTAACACCAAAGTTGGTTCTCTAAAAAGAAAAAAAAAACTACAAATGATCAATATCATGAATAAAAGAATGCACATCACAACAGAACAGGATATCAAAGCATTTGAAATTGTCCGACCTACCTCTTCGAAGGAATATTTTTCCACAGTATGAAGAGCATCCTGTGTCTCATTCCACCCTCCAACAGAATAGATACAGTCATTGAGTGCAGCCACACCAAGATAGGCTCTCCTGGTTCCCATTGGAGGAAGTGGAGACCAACGCTTAGAAAGTGGATCATACACTTCAAAAGAACGAAGCTCTATTCCTTCATTGCTGATGCCCCCAATTACATAAATTAAACCTGGAAACAGAATATTTTTATTCAGATGCTACAGAAAATAGAATGTAAATAATTATAAAACATAAGACTTATGATTTATGTCTGCTATGCTGAGACCATATTTAATGTAGGGCTCACATTATCCTTTAAGAGAGAAATTCGATTTCTGTCTGGTGTATCATAGCTCATATTTAAGCATGTTACAAAGAATTAGAGGTATGATTTAAAGTGGCATTTAAAATACCTATGTAGGGACGCCTGGGTGGCTCAGCTGGTTGAGCAGCTGCCTTCGGCTCGGGTCATGATCCCGGCGTCCTGGGATCGAGTCCCGCATCGGGCTCCTTGCTCGGCAGGGAGCCTGCTTCTCCCTCTGCCTCTGCCTGCCATTCTGTCTGCCTGTGCTCACTCTCTCTCCCTCTCTCTCTGACAAATAAATAAAATCTTTAAAAAAAAAAAAATTAAAAAAATAAAAAATAAAATACCTATGTAGTTCATTTGGTTAAGCATCCGACTCTTGATTTTGGCTCAGGTCATGATCTTGGGGTTGGGAGACTGAGTCTTTTGTTGTCATGTTCCATGCTCAGAATGGAGTCTGCTTAAGATTCTTTCCCTCTCCTTCTGCCCTTCCCCCATCCCCATGCACGTGCTCTCTCTCTAAAATAAATACAACTTAAAAAAAAAATAAGTGGCATTTGTTTTTCAAAGAACTTACAGTGCTATAACAAAACAGTCAGACATGGTTTTCCACCTTATTATCTACTTGATGACCTCAAGTTCCAGAATCAGTGCTAACATGACATAAAAAAGGAAAGGGAGAGGGATTTTCTTTCCCCTAAAAAAATACCATGCACTTAAACTGGGAATGATATAGCCTTATTTGGTGACAGCCTACCTGTTACTCAAATGGATATAGAGAATTGAATTCAAATTAGAATAGTTATATGGCAAGATTAAGGTATTCAGGATCATATCACTAGAGTACATTACAATGTAAGTCACTGTGAGTTGCTTATTATATTTGATTTGAAACTTGGGTTCTAGCTCCAGCTTTGCCAGTAACCAGCTGTGGGAAAAGATAATTCACAACCTTCCTGATCTTCTGCTTGCTCATCTATAAACAAAGGGATTAAAATAGATAATCTCCAAGATGCCTCTCTAGCTCAATGATTTTAGAAGGTACAATACTGTGATTTTTAAGAAATATGTATTTGGGGGACACCTGGGTGGGTGAGTTGGTTAAGCGGCTGCCTTTGGCTCGGGTCATGATCCCTGGGTCCTGGGATCCGGACCCATGTGGGGCTCCCCGGTCAACGGGAGTATGCTTCTTCCTCTCCCTTTGCCCCTCCTCCTGCTCATGCTATCTACCCTCCTCAAATAAATAAATAAAATAAAATTATGAAAAAAAGGAATATGTAGTTGGTCATTCAGATGACCAAAATACATTTCTCATCTATATATGGTTTTCATCCACAATTCCTTGCTCTCAGCAAGCTAAATCCTTGGAATTTCCAAAGTGTCCAGAATGAGAAGGGTGTCTTTTGTTATGTTAATGAGGCGACTTTGGGAAAGCACTTAAGGAATGGGGGGTAGTTGCCAAAGAAGTCAAACTTATGATTTGAGTGTGAGAACTTTCAGTCTCAGCCCCTGACCTCTGGGGAGAGATGTAGAGGTTGAATCAATCACCAATGGCCAATGATTTAACCACTTGTGCCTATGTATATAGTGAAGCCTCCATAAAAATCCAAAAGGATGGGGAGGGTATGTGCTATGGTGAATGCTGTGAAGTGTGTAAACCTGGCGATTCACAGACCTGTACCCCTGGGGATAAAAATATATTATATGTTTATAAAAAATAAAATAAAAAAAAATCCAAAAGGACAGGTTTGGGGTGCCTGGGTGTCTCAGTAGTTAAGTGTCTGCCTTTGGCTAAGGTCAGAATCCCAGTGTCCTGGGATCCAGCCCCGCATTGGGCACCATGTTCGGTGGGAAGCCTGCTTTTCCCTCTCCCACTCCCCCTGCTTGTGTTCCCTCTCGTTCTGTCTCTCTATGTCAAATAAATAAATAAAATTAAAAGAAAAAAAAAAGACAACTCATTAAAAAAAAAAGGACAGGGTTTGGAGAGCTTCTGGGTTGGTGAGTATATGGCGATGTGGGAACAGTGGTGTATCTGGAGAGGGAGGGCATGAAAACTCTGTGCTCCTTTTGTATAACTTGACTTTGCATCTCTTCCATCTAGCTGCTCCTGTGTTATGTCATTTTAGTAGTAACATTTTCTCTGAGTTCTGTGAGCTACCCTAGCAAATTAATTGAAGCTGAAGAGGAGGGACCACTGGAATCTCTGATTTATGGCCTGTCACTCCAAAGCACAGGTAATAATAGCCTGGGGAGGATGAGTGTTGTAGGATTGATGTGGAATTTGATGCTATCTCCAGGTATGTGTACACAGTATTAGAGTTGAATTGAATTCTCCAACACCTAGGTGGTATTCTGAGAACCTCTTCTTGTTAGTAGAAGAGAAACCAGCCCCTACCCCCATGCTGAAAACTAAGTCTCAGAACACTTAATTTATATGAGAAGATAAAAATCATAAATATAAAACAATTAGAGAACACTATAGTATTACACAACAGGATATATTCTGTACCATGTAACTTGAACACTTAAATTCTAGTGGAAATCTGAGAAGGTACTCACAAAGCAGAAAGAACTTGAGCTGGGAATAGCAGATCGAGTTGTTTTAACAAGGAGCACACTGCTCACTAGTCTACAGGTACATATAAATCTGCTCTCCAATCTGGACCAAGAATCCAGTTCTATTTGACAATGCTTACCAACTACTTCTCAGGGTATAGTAGACAATTAAAATAACGTTTGTACACCATTTTAATATGTGGTACAACATTTTTTAAAAAAGATTTTATTCATCTATTTGACAGAGAGATCACAAGTAGGCAAAGAGGCAGGAAGAGAGAGAGGGGGAAGCAGGCTCCCCGTCAAGCAGAGAGCCTGATACGGGGCTCAATCCCAGGACCCTTAGATCACGACCCGAGCTGAAGGCAGAGGCTCAACCCACTGAGCCACCCAGCACCCTATGGTACAACATTTTTCCAATTTGTCATAGCATTATATTCTGTGTGGACTGAATCACAATGTGCCCTGTAAGAAAACACTGAAAATGCCAAAATAAGAGACAGTGAAGATTGTTTTTTATATCCTCATCCTAACTTAGAAATACTTACTAAGGACTGTATGGGAGAGAAAGTGACAAAGATGGACGAAGGTTCAAATGCTTATTTTCCTAGTCACGTCTTCGGCTCATTTGTAATTTTTAATTCTTCTTTTGTTTATTTTGGAAAAAAATGATTATTTTGGCAATACAGATATAAAGATATAAGAGAGTAAAACATATAAAATGTTTAAAATAATACGTCCATACTGTTAGTGTCAATCAGTCAATTCTAACAGACATAAAACATAGTTTTGTGAAAATAAAGGCTCAAGCTTAGTTTTTCAAAAAATATATTTTTAGGGGAAAAAAAGGATGGCACCTGGGTGGCTCAGTCAGTTAAGCATCTGACTCTTGCTTCAGTTCAGGTCATGATCTCAGGGTTGTGAGACTGAGCCCTATACTGGGCTCCGTGCTGGGCATGGAGCCCGCTTCGGATTCTCTTCTCTCCCTCTTCTCCTTCCCCTCCCCCCCAAAAATAAAATACACTTTCAGAAAAAAATTTTTAGAAAGCAATACCTTGCATTTCACAACACCCGAAGTAGTAGCGTGACATAGCCATGTTGCCAACTACTTCCCACTTATTTTCATCAGGATCAAATCGTTCAATGGTGTTACCTATCTCTGCTCCAACCCATCCACCTGTAACCAAAAAGAAAAATGTCATTTCTGGATAAAGAAATCTTATCTATGAAAAATACCTTAGAAAGCATCTAATCTGGCAACTTTATAATGTGAATGATAATCATATGTACCAGAGGGGTTATTTGTCTAAGATCATACAAAAAGTTGGAATCTGACTATAAAACTTGGATCTTAACTCTGACTAGTTTTCATCAGAGATTTAAAAAAAACAAAACAAAATAAAAACAAAAGCTCATCATGTTGCTTAGGAAATAAGGTATTTTGCAAAACTACCTTTTGAAACAACTTCTGCACATTCAGAATGGCTATCCTAATCATGAGATTTAATTAGTCAGCTGAAGTGCTTCACTGGACATCTTACTACACTTTATCTCCATCTCCTTCTAAGAGATCCATACTTGACAATATTCCCCAAGTAACTCAAACTTGAAAATTAAAATTTATAAAGCTGAAAAGACATAAGTTTCTTGTGGGAGGGAAGAAAAATGTCTAAAGTAACTAGAATCTAAGAATTTAAATAATACCAGATATCCTTAAACTGAAAAGCATAATTACCCAAAGCATAGATAGCCCCATAACACACACACACTCCCAAACCACAGCGGGGGTGATTCATTGAAGCTACAGTTGTCCACTGTTTAGTAACTGGATCATAGCATTCAGTACAGTCAAAAATCATTGAATCCTTTTCACCTGAGTTAAATAAAAGAGACATATCAGAAGGTTTAATAATAATGCTAATAGCCTAGAACCATAATACAATCAATATTCAGTAGCATTCCACGTTATCAGAAACTCAACTATTAAGTCTGATTTTATGCTATTCATTAAAATTAGTTTGCCCAGTATTATTATAAATCAATAGCACTATCATTTATTAAAGCCCATTTAATGAAGCAAGGCATCATTTTCCTATTATTTCTAATTTTGCCACCCAAATAATCCATGTAATTTTTGAGGATAAAATTTGTACTTTAACACTTCTATGTTTTTTCTTGTATTAGTTTGGATACCTGGCTCTGGTATAATTTGAATTTTAATCCAATCCTTACCTAGTAACAAAGAGAAAATAAAAATAAAAATTTCTAAAAAGGTACCACTTAAAATAGAATTTTAAAATAGACTATACCTAGAAGTCAGTCTAATCAAAGATTGTACAAAACCTCTGGCATATAGAATTTATAAACTTCATTTAGGTAAAATTTTAAATTAAGGAAAAGCTAAATAAATGAGATATATCATGTTCATGAATTAGAAGAGTGAATGTATAGATGGTTATCCCCAATCTGATTTATAGATTTAACATAATCCCAATTTGAAACACAAAAAAAATTGTGTTAAAATACAAGTAACATAAGATTTACCATCTTAACCATTTTTAAGTGTAGAGTTCAGTGATGTTAAACACATTCATATTTTTGTGTAGCCATGCCACTATCCACTCCCCAAATTCTCTACATCTTATAAAACTGCAATACTATTCTGATTCAAACGATAACTCCCCATTCTCTCCTCCCCAGCCCCAGACAGCCACCACTATACTTTCTGTCTTTTATGATTTTGATTAATGTACCTCATATAAGTGAAATCATACTTTATTGTTATTTATTTTTTCCAACTAACATTTTTAATTTAAATTCAATTAATTAACATATATTATTGGTTTCAGAGGTAGAGGTCAGTGATTTGTCAGTCTTATATAATACCCAGTGCTCATTATATCACATACCCCCCTTAATGTCCATCACCCAGTTACCCTAACACCTCACCCCTCTCCCTTCCAGCAGCCCTCAGTTTGTTTCCTATGCTTAAAAGTCTCTTATGGTTTGTCTCCCTCTCTGATTTCATCTTGTTTTATTTTTTCCTCTCTTCCCCTATGACCCTCTGTTTTGTTTCCTAAATTCCACATATGAATGAGATCATATGATAATTGTCTTTCTCTGATTGACTGATTTCACTTAGCATAATACTCTCTGGGTTCCATCCACATCATTGTGAACAGCAAGATTTCATTTTTTTATGGCTGAGTAGTAGTCCATCGTCACACATTATTTTTAAAAACAGATTTGACAGAAGAAAACAGATTTGATGAACTGGCTCTAAAATTTATATGGAAGTACATAGGACCCAGAATAGCCAAGCACTCTCACACAATAGTAATAGTAAGGGAAGAAACTGTCCTATCAGATAAGCTTATCAGAATTAAAACAGAGCTATAGTGGGGTGCCTGGGTGGCTCAGATGGTTTAGAGTCTCCTTCAGCTCAGGTCATGATCTCCAGGTCCTGGGATGGAGCCTCACATCGGGTTCCCAGCTCAGCAGGGAGTCTGCTTCTCCCTCTCCCTTTGCCTCTCCCTCTTTCTGTCTCTGTCTCTCTCTCAAATGAATAAAAAACAAACAAACAAACAAAACAGAGCTATAGTAATTAAGATAGCAATACACAGAGAGACCAAAACAGAAAAGAAATTCTAGAAACAGATACCCACATATATGATTACCTGATATATGACGAAGTTTGCTCTGCACAGCAATAGGCAAATAAAAGCTTTTTATATTGAGATAATTGGTTACATATACAAGGAAAAGATGAAACTGGTTCCCTACTCCTATTATCTCAATTCCAGGCAGATTACAGACATACATTTAGTTCTAAAACTAAAATTTTAGAGAACAATAAAGGTATATATCATCATGACTTTGTAGTAGAGAAGGATTTCTTTAAAAAGATATAAGAAACCATAAAGGGAAAATAAATAACAGAGTTAGCCCCATTAAAATGAAAAATATGTTTATCAAAAGATATAATAAAGGAAAAAAAGATACTTCTTAAAAAAAAAAAAAGAAAAGAAAAGGGGGCACCTGGGTGGCTCAGTCCTTAAGCCTCTGCCTTAAGCTCAGGTCATGATCCCAGGGTCCTGGGATCAAGCCCCGGATTAGGCTCCCTGCTCAGCGGAGGGAAGCCTGCTTCTCCCTCTCCCACTCCCCCTGCTTGTGTTCCCTCTCTCACTGTCTCTCTCTCCAAATAAATAAATAAAATCTTTAAAAAAAATACCATAAAGAGAGTGAAAGATGAAGCAGCAGAGTTGCAAAAAGTATTTGCGGCACATATAATTTTATGAGGGCCTAGAATCCTGAACATATAAAACTACAGTGCAGAAAAGAATCAGCACAGCAGGCCTGAGAATTCCTAACCTTAGAAAGGCCTGCTTGCAAGATTGACCCTTGGCTGGAGTCTGGGAACAGAGCTCGCAAACAATTCCCTACACTGATATAAAAATTTCTCTAAATAATAAGAGTGGCTTTTGGCAGTAATAAAAATGTTCTGGAATTAAACAGTGGTAATAGTTGTACAATTTTGTAAATATGCTAAAAATCACTGAACCATATACTTCAAATGGTGAATTTTATGGTATGTGAATTATATCTTAATTTTCAAAAATAGTATTTAGAATATTAACCCAGATATGTATGTATGTAGAAGGAAATAAACCAAGTATTGTGATTATCTCTGGGCGATATGATCGGAGTATGGGTGATTATTACTTTTTTATATGCTTCAATTTCAGCAAAATTTTCTATCACAAACCTGAATTACTTTGATAATAAAAATCGTCTTAACATTATACATTATAAAATATCTTAGGATAGCAATGTTAATAGTATTAATAATAGTAGGTCGAGTTGGGGCACCTAGCTGACTCAGTTGATAGAGCATATGGCTCTGCACCTCAGTCATGAATTTAAGCCATACATTGAATGTGGAGCCTATTTAGAATAATAAATAAATAAATAAATAAATAAAAGTTGGTGAAGTCATAGCATTTTTTTTTTTAAAGATTTTATTTATTTCTTTGACAGGCAGAGATCACGAACAGGCAGAGAGGCAGGCAGAGAGAGAGGAGGAAGCAGGCTCCCTGCTGAGCAGAGAGCCCGACTTGGGGATCGATCCCAGGACCCTGGGATCATGACCCAAGCCGAAGGCAGAGGCTTTAACCCACTGAGCCACCTAGGTGCCCCCAAGTCATAGCATTTTTGAAGGGTGCTCCTAAGTATTTCTGTGGCATCAGGAAAAGGGACAAATATATATGAAAGTGTCACACAGGACACTGTGACCCTATGTTAAACAGGAGCATTCATGCATTGAAACTATCCATAACTGCCAAAATGTATATAAAAAGAGCTATTAGTGTTCTAGTCAAAGATTATATAGAATTATGGTCTTTATGCTGACAGAAAGTTTTTGCTTAAACTCTCATTTCTTTGTTGGGACTTTTAGATTCAACAGGGCATTTATTGATTTAATAAAGAGGTAGAGGGAGAGGGACAGGTAGACTCTGCACTGAGCAGAGACCAATGTGGGACTCAACCTCACGACCGTGAGATCATGACCTAAGCCAAAATCAAGAGTTGGCTGCTTAACCATCTGAGCCACTCAGCTGCCTCTTAATGAACTGTTTTTAGCAACAATTATGTTCTCTCCAAAAGAGAAATAAAAACCAAATATTCTCCATCTCTCTCTCTCATTTTAAGCTGATAGTATCATAGTTGAAAAATAATAATAACATTTTCAAGAGGTATCTGGGTAGCTCAGCCGGTTAAGGGACCAAATTTGGTTTCGGCTCAGGTTGGTGATCTCAGGGTAGTGAGATCATGCCCTACCCTGGGCTCAGCACTGAGTCTGCCTAAGATTCTCCCTATCCTTCTGCTTCCCCCTGTCCCACCTGCTAGTGATCTCTCTCTCAAATAATAAATAAATATTAAAAAAAATATTTTTGATATATAACTTCTTGTGTTTTAGACTAACCCATAGAAATAAGGCATAAAGATTAGTTGTAAGGGTTAGAGATGACCTATCTAGGCTTGTTGCTACAAACACAAATTATCCAGAAGTAAATACTGATATAAAAGTGTTACCGCCGGGGCGCCTGGGGGGCTCAGTGGGTTAAGCCTCTGCCTTTGGCCCAGGTCATGGTCTCAGGGTCCTGGGATTGAGCCCCACATCAGGCTCTGTGCTCAGCAGGGAGCCTTCTTCCCCCTCTCTCTCTCTGCCTGCCTCTCTGCCTACTTGTGATCTCTCTCTCTCTGTCAAATAAATAAATAAAATCTTAAAAAAAAAAAAAAGTGGGGGCGCCTGGGCGGCTCAGTGGGTTAAAAGCCTCTGCCTTCGGCTCAGGTCATGATCCCAGGGTCCTAGGATCGAGCCCCACATCGAGCCCCACATCGAACCCCACATTGGGCTCTCTGCTCCGCAGGGAGCCTGCTTCCTCCTCTCTCTCTCTGCCTGCCTCTCTGCCTACTTGTGATCTCTGTCAAGTAAATAAATAAAATCTTTAAAAAAAAAAAGTGTTAGCATTTATTTCTCTTTAGATTCTCCTCTGATATTTAGTTCCCTCCAACATCCAAAACTCCTTTTATTTAATTTTATTAATCATTTTATAATTCATAATAATAGTTTCAGAAAACACAGTGATTTCAATCAAGAAACATATCCCAAAGACTAGGTGACTTAGTTTTTATAGATCTGACTATCCTGGTAACTATGTTAATTAAAAATTATTTGTAATACAACTTCTAGTATGTGAAATTAAATTTCAAAATTAAAATAATTTTTATCACAAACATTGACCTAAATTTTGGTTCCCCATTTTATAAACAACTTTTCAACGAAACCAAACCTAAATATTCTGCCTTGGGATAAATCATAGTATCCCCCTGGTCTGAAACATTCAATATCTTCTGTTTCCTTTTTCTTCGTTTCATTAATTTATTCATTAAATATTTATTAAGGACAACCATATATATGCATACCCCATAGTACCTAGAAATATATATAAGTATTTATATTTACAGGTATTTACAGGTAGCGACTAATGAGAGAAAAAAGACATTCCATTATTACCTCCAATAGCGTAAACCATCCCTCCCAGAACTGCTACTCCTAGCCCGCATCGAGCCTGATGAAGTGAAGACACAGTGGTCCAGTACTGGCTAAAGGTGTCAAAACGCTCTACACAGCTGAGGGCTCTGCTATCACTCCAACGACCCCCCTGCAACCGAGTATACCCGCCTGAATGAAGGAAAGGAGATAAACAGCGAATCACTTACTGCTAAATATGTAAATGAAAGTAATGAGAAAAATCTAGCCCTCTACTTCTAGACATTTAATCCATAATTACTTCATAGCAAAGAAAAAGTACTTTAGAGCTTGCCATGTATACGAATATTCTTATATGCTCCAAGTCCTGAAAGATGATGGCTTAAATGCAATGACGTCAACCAGCATTCTACCACCTGGTTTTGGTCATAAAATGTTAGATAAAACATAAAAGGAGCTGGTTATCTGTCTAGTTAGGAAGTCTCATTATGACTTCTATTAGTATATTTTTCAATTAAAAATAGTGAGTTGAACAGCACATAACATCAGTAAAAAAACTGTAGCATGCACTAAAAAAGTTACATATTTATATATTATAGCATACATAAACTTACACATATAATTATCTACAGATGATAAATTATGTTATGAATATATGAAAATATGCATATAAATTTGGATAATCTGTCTATATATACTTCACATATTAATGAGACTTACTGCTTTTTAAAATAAAAAAGATGTTTTAATATGTTCTCCTGATACTTCTGTGGATTATCCTATCCACCCACACTTTAGCGACCACTGGTTCCTATTACCCCAAATCATCTAAGATGCCATGAATAGTTAAAAATGTTGAGATTTTCCCTATTTTTCACTAGAATTCACATTTTTAACTTTTAAAGCAGTATTTCGTAAGTCAGTTATTTGACAATAATTGGACAATCTAAGAACCCAACAATTTGGATCACAGAATAATAGATGTCAAATAAATAGCTATTTATTCTTAGATGTATCCACTGTATAAAACACAATTAATTTTTAGCCTATATGTGAAATTAAATATGCCTATTTGACACACTTGCATATTCTGATGTGTAAAATAATAACAAAATATTAAAGGTTTTAATCCTAAAAATAAAGATTATTTGCGTCACCTTTTAAAAGATTCTCACCTACTGCATACAGGTACTTTCTTGCTTTCTTCCGAGGCCGAACCTTGGATGTGTGCAGAAAACTACAAAACTTGTTTTCTTTGGGAGATTTGCACACCTCACAGTACTCTTTCAAAAGTGTTTGCAACGCAACGCGAAGATTAAAATCAGATACTCCTAAAGCAAGTTTGACAAGATACTGTTTTAATCAACTTTTAAATAAATATTGAAAAGACATGTTCCCATAAAGATAGAACATATTTATCAAAAAATATAAAAACTCATCATCAAGCAATGGTGATTGTTTCCCACAATACCAAATATTATTTTTCTCATTGTTACTAAAGAATAAACTTTCCAGGCGCCTGGGTGGCTCAGTGGGTTAAGCCGCTGCCTTCGGCTCAGGTCATGATCTCAGGGTCCTGGTATCGAGTCCCGCATCGGGCTCTCTGCTCAGCCAAGAGCCTGCTTTCCTCTCTCTCTCTCTCTCTCTGTCTGCCTCTCTGCCTACTTGTGATCTCTGTCAAATAAATAAATATTAAAAAAAAAAAGAATAAACTTTCCTTAAATCAAAGATTGTTTTTAACAATATGCTTCATAATACCTAATTTAAAAACACATGTGTGAGGATTTCTAAACAAAGATGGCAAGGTAAAACAGGATCATGATTATCCAACAAAACGGAAAAATAAAATAGCCCCATATTCTATACTTACGGCTTAATAACAGAAAGATATAAAATTATGTCACATAATTTAAAAAATGATAGTCAAATCAAGAAACAAAAGATTCTAGTGGGATGAGGTCCATCTCCCAAAGAGACTTTGAGTAGACTCTTCCTGCTCAAGGATGCTTAGCTGAGGTGAAGTGGGGATGAAAGTCAACCTATGTCCCACTTGCCAATCCATAAGACCTGGCCCCTTGAGAGGGACTATTTTCTAATTGACACAAAAGCACCATACATGCTAGCAAGGAACTGTCTCCAAGCTTTGTTCCTATATCCCAGAAGCAATATTGAGGAAGAAAGGTCAATTAACCAAATCTTGAGAATTCTCCCTAATGACTAAGAATTTGGAAAGGTAGAAGGAGCAGGTAAGAAGCAGAACTGAGAAGTCAAAGGAAAAACCATTACAGGAAATCCTTTACAGGACCATTGAGGTAAAGACAGAATCACCATGGCTTGCCATCTAACAGGGCACAGTTAGATGTCCACACTAATGAGACATATCTTTAGCTGGGTTAAGTAAGCCCTGACACAAAATCAATAATAGGATTTTAGGGAGAGCTCAGAGTCCAGGTCCCTAAGCAAATATCTAAGCCTAAGCAGATCTCTGTTCTTCCACCACCTTCATACCTCAGTCTAGAAAGAAGTGGCAAGAACACAACACAGTCCTCAAATTCTAGCTGGAAGTTACACTAAGGTAGAAAGGGTGTCAAGGAGAATTAGCTCTTCCATTATCAGAGTAAACTGGTTTGAAGAGAGTAGCCCATGTTATACATGAGCAATATACCAATAAGTAACAATAGCACTATTAAAATATACCCCAGGAAAAAGAGGAGAAATAATTCATTCTGGAATAAAACATTAGCCACAAACACAAACAGACTTCCCATACATGATTCACAGCATGTGAAGAATTACTTAAAATTTTAGAATTACTTAATCAATTATTTAGAATTAATTAATTATTTAGAATTACTTAAAAATACAGATCTGGGGTGCCTGACTGGCTCAGGTGGTAAAGCATGTGACTCTCAACCTCGGGGTTATGAGTTTAAGCCCCACGCTGGACGTTGAGCCTATTTAAAATAAAAATTGAAAAAAAAAAAACATATAGAGATCCTATTTAAAAAAAAACTCAAAGCGGGGTTCCTGGGTGGTTCAGTGGCTTGAAGCCTCTGCCTTCAGCTCAGGTCATGATCCCAGAGTCCTGGGATCGAGTCCCGCACCGGGCTCTCTGCTCAGTGGGGAGCCTGCTTCCTCCTCTCTCTCTCTCTCTCTCTCTCTCTCTCTGCCTGCCTCTCTGCCTACTTGTGATCTCTGTCTGTCAAATAAATAAAATCTTAAAAAAAAAAAAACCCAAAACCAAAAAAACTCAAAGGCAGAATTAGATGCTTTGCTAAGGAAACAAAGTGAGAACTTGAAATGACAGTATTACAGACTTAATAAATTAGAAACAAGAAACACAATAGACATGATGAAAAATCAAACCATCAATTTAAAGACTTGAGAAAACAGCTGTGAATACAGAGCAAAGGAAAATATTTTAACATTAGAGGATGGTAAATATGAGAGTCAATGAAGTTCCAATAAAATGATGAAGACCGGAGCTCCTGGGTGGCTCAGTCAGTAAAGCGTCTGACTCTTGATTTCAGTTCAGGTCATGATATCAGGGTCTTGGGATCAAGTCCCGTGTTGGGCTCCAAGCTCAGCGGGGAGTCTGCTTGAGATCCTCTCTCCTCTTCCTCTGCTTGGCCCCTCCCACCGCCCCACTACTTGAGTGCATGCATGTGTGTACACTCTCTCTCAGTAAATAAATACTTTTTTTTTTTTTAGATTTTATTTATTTGAGAGGGAGAGAAAGAGAATGCAAATGAGAGCACAACAGCAGGGGGAGGGAGAAGCAGGTTCCCCGCTGAGCAGGGAGCCAGGCGAGGGGCTCAATCCCAGGACTCTGGGATCATGACCTGAGACGAAGGCACTTAACCAACTGAACCACCCAGGCATCCCTAAATAAATAAATCTTAAGAAAAAAAAGAATATTATGCCCAGGGCACCTAGGTGGCTCAGTCAATTAAGCAATTGACTCTGGATTTCAGCTTAGGTCATGATCTCAGGCTCATGAAATCCAGCCCCACGTCAGGGGTATGAGGTTCATCTCTTCTTTCTTGGGTCTTCTCTTTATATGCACAGGTGTCCAGCACCTAGCTGGCCAAAGTGAGGGTTGATGGTTTTCACCAAGCTGCTGTATCTCTCTGGTAGAAGAGTCAGAGAGATTCCAATTGTTATGATTTAAAGCTGAAACTATGACACTTCTGCTGAAATAGCACCTATAGGTAATGCCCACATTCGTGTTTCTTAATGCCAATGAAAGGGTGCAGGTGGGAAGGCTGGAGGTGGAGGGTTAAGGAGTATCAGGTTAAGCTGCAGAATGAGAAAAATCTGGGTTCAAGTTCAGGCCTTACCATTTACTAAGTATGTGATAGGATCAAACTACATAATCTCTCGGACTTCAGTTTCTTTATCTGTAAAATGGAAATGACCAATAGTGAAACCTACTTTCTATACTGTGAGAAATGGTGGCAAGTGGGTGGCTCAGTCATTTAAGCCTTGGACTCCTGATTTCAGCTCAGGTCATGATTCCGTGGGTTGTGAGGCTGAGCATTGAGTTGGGCTCCTCGCCCAGCGAGGATTCTGTTTGTGATCCTCTTTCTCCCTCTGTCCCTCCCCCTGCTAGTAGGCATATGCACATGCTTGTTTTTTCTCTCTCTTTCAAATAAATAAATAAAAATCTTAAGGAAAAAAAAAAAAAGATGGGGTGCCTGGGTGGCTCAGTTGTTAAGCATCTGCCTTCAGCTCAGGTCATGATCCCAGGGTCCTGGGATGGAGCCCCACATTGGGCTCCCTGCTCAGCAGGAAGCCTGCTTCTCCTTCTCCCTCTCCCCCTGCTTGTGTTCCCTCTCTTGCTCTGTCTCTCTCTGTCAAATAAATAAATAAATAAATAAACTTAAAAAAAATATTATGCCCATCCATGGAGTGTCTGACTGGCTCATTTGATAGAGCACACAACTCTTGATCTCAGGTTTGTTAAGTCTGAGACTCATGTTGGGTGTAGAGATTACTTTTTTTTCCCCCCAAGATTTTACTATTTTTTATTTGACAGAGAGAGCACAAGCAGGGTGAGTGTCAGAGGTAGAGGGAGAAGCAGGCGCCCCAGTGAGCAGGGAACCCAATGCAGGGCTGGAGCCCAATGCAGAGCTCAATTCCAGGACCCTGGGATCATGACTTGAGCTAAAGGCACATGCTTACCTGACAGAGCCACCCAAATTTTTAAAATCTTAAAAAAAAAAAATGATTATACCCATCCAAATTGCTGTTAACTTAAAAAAGCTACAGGCAGAAATTCTCAATATGAAAAAATTTAGGAAATACAGTAATCATGAACTTTTCTTTAAAAAAGTACTTGATGATGAAATCCAGCCAACCAAAAGACAAGTCAAAAAAGAAAATTTGGGAATAAAAAGACTGAAAAACTGGTAGACAGCATCAAATTCATTTCAATACAGAACAAAAGCACAGAGCTAGGGAAATCATGATTGAAAAAAAAAATCTATATAAAGGTATAAACCTTGAAGCACCTGGGTAGCTCAGTCGTTAAGCACTGCCTTCAGCTCAGGTCATGATCCCGGGGTCCTGGAATTGAGTCCTGCATTGGGCTCCAGCCCTGCATTGGGTTCCCTGCTCACTGGGGAGCCTGCTTCTCCCTCTCCTACTCCCCCTGCTTGTGTTCCCTCTCTTGCTGTGTCTCTTCTCTGTCAAATAAATAAAATCTTTAAAAATAAATAAATAAAGGTATAAACCTTGAATGGTGGCATAGGAAGAAAACTAACAATGCTAATTACCTTATTTTTCTTAATGAGTCTATACTGTTTAAAATTTAATTTAAAAAAAAATTATCTATTTGACAGAGAGAGAGAGACACAAGCAGGGGAAGTGGGAGAGGGAGAAGCAGGCTTCCTGCTGAGCAGAGAGCCTGAAGGGGGGCTTGATCCCAGGATCCTGGGATCATGACCTGAGCCCAAGGCAGACGCTTGATGACTGAGCCACCCAGGCGTCCCTATACTGTTAAAAATTTAAACACAAAACACTATATGTTTAAATATACTGGAATTAAAATGAAAAATAATAAATAAAAATAAAACTGAAACACAAATGAAACTTTTATTTCATCTTTTAATGACTTTCATCTTTTGTCCTGAACTCGATAAGAACTTTTTAAAATGAGTGTTTCTTGAGATGAAGAAACATTCATCAGAAATTAGTTACTACTTCAGTTTCTTCATTAATTTTTAATGAGAGTTAAGCACACTTTTTGTATTATAAATAGTATGTACAGAATGATTCTTACATTTTTTTCTGTTTATCCATCCAACCATACATCCACCCATCATCCATCCTCCTATATAGATACCTAGAATGATGTTTAATAATGTTAATTATAACTGGTTATTTCTGGGTAGTGGACTTTGGGGGAATTTGTTGTTTTATTACACTTTATTACCTAAACATTTATAAGAGGATATACAATTTTTAGAAAGTAGTCATTCTCTAAAATGGCAAGAAAGAGATGTTATCATTTAGTTAGTACTATTGAATTGCCTCAATTATTCCAGTGATAAATACGAAAAACATACACCAGGGGGGAAATCTACATATTTCACATAACATAATTTAACCATTTCTTTCTTTCTTTTTTTTTTTAAAGATTTTATTTATTTATTTGACACAGAGAAAGAGAGATCACACAAGTACACAGAGAGCAGGCAGAGGGGGAAGGGGAAGCAGGCTCCTTGCTGAGCAGATGCGGGGCTTGATCCCAGGACCCTGAGACCATGACCTGAGCCCAAGGCAGAGGCTTAACCCACTGAGCCACCCAGGTGCCCTCTTTTTTTTTTTTAAGATTTAATTTATTTGACAGAGAGCGAGAGAGCACAAGTAGGGGGAGCAGCAGACAGAGGGAGAGGGAGAAGCAGGCTTCCCGCCAAGCAGGGAGCCCGATGCAGGGCTTGATCCCAGGATCCTGGGACCATGACCTGGGCTGAAGGCAGAAACTTAACGACTGAGCCACCCAGGAGCCCCAATTTAACCATTTCTATTAAGTCTTTTGCTCTCTGAATTTTGTGGTAGAGTCTCATTATTTTTCTACATAAATGGCCAGCTTTTTCTCTAATATGATCAAAAAGAAAAAGTTTCAAAGTTGAAATATTTTAAAATCTTTTTAAAAAAATCCTCCATTTCCATCTCTCTGACTCCTTGCAGCTTTACTCCAAGAAATACCTTTAGCTGACAACTAATTGGGCATGCTTAATAAAGCAGTACAGATTTGAATATTATAAGACTAAAAAGCTATAGGAAAAGAAGCCCCAATTCTAGGTAACTTTCCCTTGCTCCTAGCAAAGGAACTTTCCTATAACACTGTATCTACAGAACTTGGGAAAAGACAACTCAACCATGAAAGCTTTTGTCCCACTCCTAAATTCTCATATGATTCAAGCAAAAATGTATTTGGATAATTTCTCTCTTCTTATTTTAGCATTTAAATATAGTCAGTCTTGGGGCGCCTGTGTGGCCCAGTGGGTTAAGCCTCCGCCTCTGGCTTAGGTCATGATCTCAGGGTCCTGGGATTGAGCCTTTCATTAGGCTTTCTGCTCAGCAGGGAGGCTGCTTCCCTTCTCTCTCTGCCTACTTGTGATGTCTCTCTGTCAAATTAATAAAATCTTTAAAAAAAAAAAAAAAGCCTCTGCCTTTGGGTCTGGTTCTGAGTTCAGATTCCTGGGATTGAGCCCGCATCAGGCTCTCTGTTCAATGGGGAGCCTGCTTCCCTCACCTCCACCTCTGCCTCTCTGCCTACTTGTGATCTCTGTCTGTCAAATAAAAATCTAAAAATAAATAAATTAATTAAATCAGTCTTCATTGTTTGTGGATTCCTTATTTATGAATACAGCTACTCATTAAAATGCATTTGTAACCCAAATTAACACTCATGGTGTTTTCCTAGTCATTCATAGACATGCTGCAGAGTAGAAAAAAATTAGAATCACCTGACATACATGTTTCTAGGTAGGAACTAAACAAGATGACACTTTGCCTCATATTTCAGCTCTCATATTATAAATAAGTGTCCTTTTCACAGTCTCTTTAGTGCTGTGGTTTTCATATTTTTGGGCTTTTTCTTGGTGATATTGTTGAAAATGACCCCACCCATACTGTTGAAGTACTATCTAGTGTTCCCGATTGCAAGAAGCCTGTGATGCGCTTTATGGAGTAAATGCATGTATTTGGTTTCATTCAGGCACGGGTTATAGTGCTATTGGCTAGGAGTTCAATGTTATGAGTATATATATTAAATTAAGTATATATATATTAAGTATATATATTAAATAAGGTGTTTTTGATAGAAACACACATAAAACAATGTTATGTATTGATCAGGTGGCAAAAATACTGTGATTTACATAAGTATTTCCCTTAGGAACAATGTCTCAGTATTTGCCAATGCAGTGTTTGTGGCAACTTTATAGAACATAACTACTGTGAACAATAAAAATTGATTGAGTAATATATATGCATTAATAAAAAGACATCACTCAGAAAAGAAAAAAAAGACATCACTCGGAAAAAAAAAGATATCACTCAGAAAAACCCATCAAATTCTATTATACACTGTTAAGAGTAGAAAAAAATGAAAAACCCACATTAAATATAATTCCTTCACAGAATTATACCTTTAATGCTAATAGTGTATTTAATTGATATGAAGATCATTTGTAACTTTCTAAAGTTTCAGTGCATGACAAGAGCAAGAGCTTCAAATCTTGAAACCAGGTCTAAGGTAGTTTGTAAAAATACATTTAAATCTGTGGTGCCTGGTTGGCTCAGTCAGTAGGCCATATGACTCTTGATCTTGGGGTTGTGGGTTCAAGCCCCACAATAGGTATAGAGAGTGCTTAAAAACAAAATCTTAACCAATTAATTAATAATAATTAATATATTATATCTATATATGTATATATAATTTTTCTAGTAGAAAAATTAACACTATTCATACTATGATGAAAAGTATTTTCAGAGTTTAGTACCTAAAGACAATTCAAAGGCTACTTAGAAGCTATGATATTGGGGCACCTGGGTGGCTCAGTGCGTTAAAGCCTCTGCCTTCGGCTCAGGTCATGATCTCAGGGTCCTGGGATCGAGCCCCACATCAGGCTCTCTGCTCGGCGGGGAGCCTGCTTCCCCCTCTCTCTCTGCCTGCCTCTCTGCCTACTTGTAATCTCTGTCAAATAAATAAATAAAATCTTTGGGAAAAAAAAAAGAAGCTATGATATTATAGCAATATAAAATTAAGTTTATAATGAGGAGATGTACAGAATTTATTGAGTTTGGGCTTTGTTTTTAGCATATGAATTTTCCTCATGTGTCAGGTTTTGTTATAATTTTTAGAGGAATAAGAAGAAATCTTACACTGAAATAATCAGTACTATCAAAAACAGCAGTGGTATTTTAGGCCTGTCAATAATTTTATCTATAATTCTAATCTCCCTTAGTATTTAAACTCAAGAAAGGTATGTCAGAATTTGATTAAAATAATGGGTAGAAATACTGAAATACTACTATCTGCAAAACACAAAAGTTGTATCTCACATATAGTAATAATTCAATAAATGTCCATTATTGAACTGAAAAATGAAAACATTATCACATTTCAAATAGAGAGAAAGCCACTGGATATTCACGCATTTGATATGCAAAAAAAATTTACCTTCTATGTACTTTAAAAGCCTCTGAGGAGGTAATAAAGGGAATCGAATTGGTTCTAGCACTTCCACCACATGTTTTCTTCTTTTTCCCAGGTCCTTCAGAATCCATTGCATAGAAGCTAAGAAGACCTGGTATTCATCCTCGATACTGAGCTCTTCGCTTCGCAAAATTTTGATCAGTTGATCTTTTGTAAGCGCTAGGAACTCCTCCCCACTGTGAACCTCCAAGAAATGGACATGAATGTAGTTTTCTGTGAATTCCAAAAGATCATGGCAGGCAATTTGCTCAGAGAACTGAAAGATTCCAATGCAGTTCAATGGATCAACTTGTCCTTTTAGAAATTCACAGCACAGATTAACAACTTCAGTCAACTGTAGCATGTCTGCCGCAACAATGAGCTCCTGGACATTATTCACACCTATGTTCACTATACCTAGGGAAGTAGGGAGACAAAATAACCAACAAAGTAAAAACAAACATTTGACTTATATTAAAAAAGCATTATATTTAATTCCACTGATAAAGCTTAGTATTTGGTGAGTAGATAGATCCTAAGTAAAAAGGCAACAAAGGATTTGTAGAAAGAGCACAAAACTTAAATGATGATACCTAACATTTATGGAACACTTATAATGGACAGAAACATTAACTGTTTCATACATTTATTTAACTGTCACTACAACCCATATAATAGTGTTATTATTTTTCCTTTTTCTATCAATTAAACAGAAATAGAAAGTTTATTTACTTTATTATACATTTAAAAAATGTTTTTAGGGGCACCTGGGTGGCTCAGTGGGTTAAAGCCTCTGCCCAGGTCATAATCCTGGGGTCCTGGCATCGAGCCCTGCGTCCAGCTCTCTGCTCAGCAGGGAGCCTGCTTCCTCCTCTCTCTCTGCCTGCCTCTCTGCCCACTTGTAATTTCTGTCTGCCAAATAAATAAATAAAATCTTTTAAAAAAATGTTTTTTAAGTAGGCTCCACACCCAACATGGAGCCCAATGTGGGTCTTGAACTCAAGATCCTGAGATCAAGACCCAAGCTGAAATCAAGAGACAAACACTTAACCAACCGAGCCACCCAAGTGCCCTCAAGAATCAGAAAGTTTAAATAACTTGTCTCAAAGTCACATGGTCAAGTGATTGAGGGTAGAGACTGACATCAAAGTCCATGCTTTTAACATAAGGTTATATGCATCTAACATTTACTGAGGCACTGGGGTGAATAAGACAGGGTCCCCATCTTCAATTTGATAAAGTGCCATACAAACATTATTCTTTAATGCTAGGTATAACCAAGAGTTCATGACATATGAGACGTTATTAAATACCTTTTTTTTAAGATTTTAATTATTTATTTGATAGAGAGAGATCACAAGTAGGCAGAGAGGCAGGCAGAGAGAGAGAGAGAGAGAGAGAGAGAGAGAGGAAGGAAGCAGGCTCCCTGCTGAGCAGAGAGCCCGACATGGGGCTCGATCCCAGGACCCTAGGACCATGACCGGAGCCGAAGGCAGAGGCTTTAACCCACTGAGCCACCCAGGCGCTCCTTAAATACTTAACATTTAAGTAACTACGTACACCACTTTCTTTCTAGATGTCTTTACTTTTATATTAACATATATGACTTTGGGAGAACACTAAATAGTTAATTATATTTAGAATGGAAGAAAAACCCTGTAATTCTCCTACCTGATAAGGATAAACTCTCCATTCAATCTTATATTTCCCTTAATCCCTTTTAGGATATTCACTCCACTAAATTATTTGGCTGAAGTTTGTATTTCCAACAAGATTTATAGTCTGTTGGGGGAAGGCTTTCCCTTTTATATTCTCAATGCCTACTGCCCACTAGGTACTCAAAAATTTGTTTTAAATAGGGGCACCTGAGTGGCTCAGTGGTTTAAAGCCTCTGCCTTTGGCTCAGGTCATGATCCCAGGGTCCTGGGATGGAGCCCCACATCGAGCCCCACATCGGGCTCTCTGCTCAGCAGGGAGCCTACTTCCCCTTCTCTCTCTCTCTCTGCCTACCTCTCTGCCTACTTGTGATCTCTGTCAAACAAACAAATAAAAAATCTTTTAAAAAATTTGCTTTAAATAAATGAATGCCCAGGGACACGTGGGTGGCTTGGTCATTGGGTGTCTCCCCTCAGCTCAGTTCATGATCCCAGGGTCCTGGGATTGAGTCGGCATCACGCTCCCTGCTCAGCGGGAAGCCTGCTTCTCCCTGTCCCTCTCTAGCTGTCTCTCCCTGTCAAATAAATAAATAAAATCATTCATAAATAAATAAATAAATGCCCAAAGAAATTACGGTGAGAGGAAGAATATGGCTTATTGAATGCAAACAGGGATTCCTGAAAGAAAGAAATGGAATCCACCATGGAGTAAATGGTAGTGGTTGCAGAGAGAACTGAGATAAGACTTAGCTGAATAAAATGAGAATTCACAACAAATTTGGACAAGATCATGGGTTGTAATCTATGAAGACTGAATGCCTGCTACTGGATAAAGCCAAGAGTTACTTGAGAGCAATAAAAAGAATGTCCTATAACTATACAAGACTTTATAGATTACAAAAAACACTTTTACATTTATGAAAATTTATCTCATTTAACCTTCACATGAATTATGAAAAATTTTTTTTTAAAGATTTATTTATTTATTTGACAGAGAGAGAAATCACAAGTAGGCAGAAGTAGGCAGAGAGGCAGGCAGAGAGGGAGAAGCAGGCTCCCTGCTGGGCAGAGAGCCCGACGTGGGGCTCGATCCCAGGACTCTGGGGTCATGACCTGAGCCGAAGGCAGAGGCTTAACCCACTGAGCCACCCAGGCGCCCCGAATTATGAAAATTTATCCCCACTTTACAACTAAGGAAAATGAGGCTCTCACAAGCTCATTTCAGATCTGTAAGTACCTAAATTGCACTACCTATAAAGCTCTGAGAAGACAGAGCCACTGCCTGCTTGTTTACTGCCATGTTTAGTGCTTAGCTCACATAAAGTATTCATATGCGATACTTGCTGGCTCAGTCAGTACAGCATGTGACTTTTTTTTTTTTTTAAGATTTTATTTATTTATTTGAGAGAGAGAGACAGTGAGAGAGAGCATGAGCGAGGAGAAGGTCAGAGAGAGAAGCAGACTCCCCGTGGAGCCGGGAGGCCGATGCGGGACTCGATCCCGGGACTCCAGGATCATGACGTGAGCCAAAGGCAGTCGTCCAACCAACTGAGCCACCCAGGCGTCCCCAGCATGTGACTCTTGATCTGGGGGTTCTGAGTTCAATCCCCATATGGGGCATAGAGCTTATTTTTTTTAAAAAGTATCCATAGGGGCACCTGGGTCACTCAGTCGGTTGAGTATCTGCCTTCAGGTTAGGTCATGATCTTAGGGTCCTGGAATCGAGCCCCACATTGGGCTCCCTGCCACTGGGAGTCTGCTTCTCCCTGTCCCTCTATCCTGCTTGTGCTCTCTCTCTCTCTCTCTCAAATACATAAATAAAATCTTTAAGGAAAAAAAAAAAAAAAGAAGAACCTTGATTTTGTTGTGGGTGCTAATTGTGTCCTGATGAAAATTACGTACCTTAACCTCATTTACAGATAGGGTTGAATTTTTTACTGTTTGGCCAATGGGATATAGACAGCAGTTACTGGGTACAGCTATCAGAAAAGCTTAAAAAAAGAACAGACTCAGCTAGCAGGACCTTTTGCCTTTTTCCCTTCCTCCTTCCACTGGCTGGAATTCAGCAATCATGAGATTAGCACCTACAAGCTATAGATGGTAGAGCAAAATGTTGGGAGAATAATAGGATATTAAGGACATCATGAAGCCACCATACCATTCTTGGAATGCCTACTATGAATTCACTTCTGTGGAAAAATAAACTAGCTTGTTAAGCCACTTGATATCCTTTACCAGTAGCCAAATTCTGTTCTTAATTGTTATACCAATTTTAACCTTAAATGTCAATATTCAAGAATGTTATTTCTCTCAGATATGCTCAAAAGCTTTTATTTCTCTGGGTTTTACTACTTTTTATTTATTTGATGAAGTGCTAATCACCAATATGGTGACAGTACCGGGAACATCTTTCACTAAGTAGCTCTTGTTGCTACCCTTAGACAAGAGGCAGAATAAACATCTTGTAGCATTTCTTCTGTGTTTATGTAGCTCAACACTAATTCCACTGGATTAATATGTGTTAATTTACACTTTGTAAATAAGAGAAGCAGAACATTTATGAAACTGTGTTCAGCTCACACAAGTCAGTTAGAAAAGGTTAAAAAAATCCTTCGATGCTAATTTGTACATTAGACAATAGACAGGGCTGCACGACTTTCAGTAAATAAAACATAGTCATCTTTATAATCTCCAAATTAAGAGTTATTTTCTGATATTTTCCAAAATGTAATAAGAAACAACACAAAGAAATCTCCTTTTGTCATTTTCCAGGTTTAAATACCATGCACTAAATAAATAATACTTTATGGGATCACCTAATAATTTCCCACAAGTAGTCCTTTAAGGAGAGCATGATGACCAAACAGTCTTTGTTTTCAAACATTTTTTCTGATTATATTATCTTCACCACAGGAAAAAACTTCAAGGCAGAAAAGTACAAAAATGAAAATCACACATTTTCCCACAGACATACACTGTACTAACACTTTAGTGTCTTTCAAATCTTATTTCCATGTATATTTATTACATATCATATAAACTTCATACTTTTTTGTGTGCACTTTCTAACATTATCAAAACTTTTAAAAAACATTTTAAAAATAAAAGTTTTAATTAAAATACATACACGTTGATTGCAAATATTTTGAGGGGGGAAAAAAAAAGAGGGAAAAATAAAGATTTTCCATATTCCAGGGTTGCCTGGTTGGCTCAGTTGTTAAGCATCTGCCTTTGGCTCAGGTCATGATCCCAGGGTCCTGGGATCCAGCCCCTCTTCGGGCTCCCTGATCAGTGGGAAGCCTGCCTCTCCCTCTCCCTCTCCCACTCCCTCTGCTTGTATTCCCTCTCTTGCTGTCTCTCTCTCTGTCAAATAAATAAATAAAATCTTTAAAAAAACAAACATCTTCCATATTCTGTCATCCAGAGATAGACACTTATCAACATTCTGGTCTTTTTCCTGTGCACCAAGACAAATGATTTTTTTTTCTTTACAAAATTAGAGCGGTGCTTATATTCAATTTTTTTTCATTTGAAATATTGTAAACACTCTTCCATAGTATATATTTAAATAATTTGAGAGATCTAAAAAAATATTTCATGATCCACACATATGCCATAATTTATTTAATCATATAATCTACTGAGGGATAATTAGATTGTATTCAATTATGTAGTTATAAATAATGTTACAGTAAACATCCTGGTACATAAATATTTGCCTGTATCACTAAGTAATTCCTTATGAATAATTCCTTCCTAGAAAAGGAATACTGGGTCAAAAGATATGAAACTTTCAAACACTCATAATAACATATTGTCAAATTACTTTCCATAGAAGTTGTATCAATTTATATTCCCATTGCAATGAATGAGTGATTATATCATTCTTCACTCAAAACTTTAGGCTCATGTAACATACCTGTATAAATGAAATCTAGAAGTATTTGAAAGATTCCAGCTTCAATTCCTAGAATCTGTACAACATCTTTTGAGGACTCTTTCATTCCTCCAGTGAATAAAGCTGCAAAGTAAGGACTACTGGCAGCCAAAACCAGCCGATGAACTTTAAAAGTCTCGTTCCCAACTTGCAGCTGCACATCACAGAAATGCTCTCCATTCCTCATTTTATTGATCTGGGCCAAGATGAGTTGGGCATGTTTATCAGATGAAAATGGACTATTACCAGCCTTGGGACAGTCCTCATTAGCCATGTTGACAGATTAATTAAAAGGACTGTTGCCCATAATCTGATCCTACCCTGAAAAACAAAATAGGAGACCAGAAAACATATTTTTGTCTTTAACATGTCTTCTATTGACACACATTCCCTATCCTTTAGCTTAAAATCTACTTAGGGACATAAAATACACACAAAACAAATATGGGTTTCAGGGAAGGGAATAAGCAATGGGGCCTAAAATAAATGGAGAATAATTCATGGTAGAAATGGGACCTGACTGGATGTTGCAAGATAAAGATTAACATCTGAGGAGAGGGCATAAGCCCTTCTGGGTGAAATAAAGAAAGAAAGAAAAGGCACAGGGGCACCTCGGTGGCTCAGTTGGTTAAGAAAAGGCACAAAGGCAGAAGTTTTTGTACACTGTAGTTAAGAAAGCACATACTCTAACCAAAATGAATTTTCAAAAACCAACTGTGATCGGGCCAACTGTCTGCTTACAAACCTTCACTTGGCACACTTCTCTTAGTACACAAAGCCCTTCAAATCTCACCTCTGTCTATCTGTCCAGTCCTATCTCCCATACTCTTTTTTGAACTTAATACTCCAACAAAACCTAAAAATTTGCAGTTCTCTAAAAGTATCTCTTTCAAGGCATCCTTCCCCACCTTTTCCTTTTGGGTCTTTGTTATAATTCAAGACTCTGTTCAAACATAATTTCCTGCAGAACCTTCCCTGTTCCTCTCTCCTCTGGATTTGGTGGCCATCCTAAACTCACCTATTTTTTTTTTTTTAAACTTACCTATTTTTTGGCTACATCACACTATACTTTGTCGGACACTACCAAACCTATTTTCTACAGACACATATATTCTCTGAAATCTTCCTGAGAGTCTCTTAAGGGCGGGGACTATCTTTCATAGTAGTAGCACCGGTACCTAACATATATTAACTTTTCAAATATTTGTGAAATGAACGAGTACAATGAGAAATAACAATAGCTTATGTTGTTTTTGTCTAACTGTGATAGCTTTTCCACGCATTCTGCCAATTGCAATCCTCACAATAATTAAGAGGTGGGAAGAAAAGATATTGTTATTTGAAATGAGAGAGAAGGAAACTGAAGCTCAAAGTTTCCCAAAGACACAGTGTTAGTATAATGACAGTCTCAGTATTGGAATCCAAGTCTTATTACTTTAAATCTTGGGCTATTCCCACCATATCACATGCATAGGAATTATTAGGACAGGTTATAGAGAAAAGGCTTTGAAACCCAAGGACAGAAATTTAGCCATTATAGACTCAAGAGTAACAAGACAACAGTCATGTTTCAGAACTGTTATATGAACCTTCCAGGGAATGAACTGAGAGGTAGCAAAGTCCTTGAAAACAGCCTTATACAGCCTCAACAATGAAAATGGAACGGATGAATCCAACTTACTTTTTAAATAAAGAAACCATGAGATCCAGTAATGTAATATATTTGGGGATGAAGCACAAGGGAAATCCAAGATGACTATGGTTTTGTAACCTAGGCATCAAAGGGAACTAGTAAAAAGACTGACAGAAAGGTGTGGGCTGATGTTAGAAAAAAGTGGTTAATTTTATAGCATTCAGTCAAATTCATCAAAGTAAAACTAATCATCATGATTATCTAGGAATTGAGAAATCTGATTGAGAAGTTCCAAGACAGCTGCTAAAACTTCACATTAGCATTTACAGAATGTCAACATACTACATTTAACTGGCATATAAAAGCAAACGGCATTTGTCTCTATACTGAAATTTGATCTGCAGAATATTATCAAACATCACATGGCTGTTAGGCTTTTTTTCTGTTTCAGATTTCTTCCCGTTAGACCCCAGCGTCTTGATTACAAGGTACCTCCTCTGCCCCCAACTTCAAGGCATCAAGCACAGCCACTGAGCTAAAATGCTGCCTCCTGCTGAGTTCAGTCAATATCCATCCACTCCGGTAGCAGACAGCAGAAATCCTAACGTGTTACCGTGCTTCTTAGTAGTTGCTGACACTATCCCATTACCAGTGAAGAACTTCATTCCAAAAGGCGGCACATGTGTGACCGTGTTTCCAAAAGGAAAGAGCACAACTCCGGGACACTGCATATGGATGTGAGGGACGTGCCTCAAGAGACCTAAACTTGAAAGGGAGAGATTATCAGGAAATGGTGGAGATGCCCAGAAGAATTAAAGAGGACCTGTGTTTGGTGGCCTTGACTTTACTCTTCAGAGCATCGGGAAGCTGCTTCAGCAAAGGGTGGCAGAAAAAACAAGCGTCAAGAAACCGAGGTTCTTTGTGTCTGAGTCGGGGACCTGGAGAGTTACCCCTAAGCTGCTGCGACACTACAAGCCGATAAACATTCGGCGGTACCTAAATGGCGGAGAAGGTATCTCCCACTCGTCCGGGGATATCTGACAGGCTGGGGGCTCAGCCTTCGGATTCCCTGGTGGGGGCGGGGAAAGGAGAGGCAGGAGTCGACCAGACCAGACCAAGCGAAAGGTGAGGGCGAAAACACTTGACTATCAGAGGCACGCCTGAGCGGCCAGAGTAAGCGGTTCCAGAGGCTCCTCTCCTCTCCTCAGGGGTCCCAAGAGCCGTAAGAGCGAAGAGGTCATTCCCAACCCCGTCACAGTCGCACCCGGACGCAGGCCCTTCTTACCCGCCGCTTCCCCTTCCCGCCGGCGCCCGCTAAGGCCCTGCGCGCGCAGTCGCTACCAGCGCCGGCGCCGAGAGGGCGGGGGGAACCCGGCTGGGCGGACGAGGCGGAGGCGACTGGGTACTGTGGCCGACGGAGGACTGGAGGTGAGGCCGGGCCTGCTGACAAGTGCCTCTAGCGTGGCGCCGTCGCTAGTCGGGTTGCGCGTGCGCAGTGTTCTTACGCTGGCGGGTAGAGGCGACACCCGGAGCCGGATGGCTGTGACCCGCGCCTGGTGTTGGGTTCGCAGCAGGCGAACTGCACAGCTACGAGTCCAAGTTCTTGCCTGTTGGGGCTGGCCTGCTCGACCGTTCCCCTCAACCTACGTTCTCTCCATTCTTGTGGCGTCCCAGATAGCCAGCGAACTTTAGTGTTTGTTTGTTTTAAGATTTTATTTATTTGACACAGAGAGAAAGATCACAAGTAGGCAAAGAGGCAGGCAGAGAGAGAGAGAGAGAGAGAGAGAGAGAGAGAGAGAGAGAGGGAAACAGGATCCCTGCTGAGCAGAGGAAACCCCCCCCCCCGCCACGGGGGGCTCGATTCCAGGACCCGGAGACCACGACCACCACCCGAGCGGAAGGCAGAGGCCTAACCGACTGAGCCACCCAGATGCCCCGAACTTTAGTGTTGAGGAAAGACAGAGATGAACCCCCGGCGCTGCGCTTCTTTCTTTCTTTTTTTTTTTTTAACTTGAGATGTTACTTGACGTGTAACTTTAGCTTCATGTGTACAACATGATTCGATATTTCTACCTTCTCTTATTTAAAAAAATCTTATTTATCAGAGAGAGTGCACGTACACAAGCAGGCAGAATGTCAGCCAGAGGTGGAGAGAGAAGCTCCCCGCTGAGCAAGTAGCCGGATGCGGGGACTCGATTCCAGGAGCCTAGGATCACCACCTGAGCGGAAGACAGGGACTTAACCGACTGAGCCACCTAGGCGTTCCAATCTCTTTATTCTTTACCATTCACTCAGATCATTTTCTAGGTTTGCCTAAGCCTGGCATTTGAATGGATGCCTACTTTGAGGGAAGGGAGAACTCCAAACATCTAGTTATTTTCACTGTTGAACCTCGTAATATGTCACGTTCATGATTTTCAAACCCTTTGACCCCGGCCAACAGTGAACAAAAACATTCTACTTCAAACCCAATAATACCACATACGTCTATAGATGTATACATCTGAAACAAAAATTTCACAGAAAAATATACTTACTGCCAGCAATTCTCTAAATTTCTATTTCTCCTTTTCGATTCATTACCGAAAAGCGCTAAAAGAGACCCATTGTCTGAAAAATTATTATCCAAGACTTGGAAATGAGCAAAAGCGATTATTTGGGTGCGCTTTTACTGTAAGGCTGGGCATTGCCTAGCAGACTTTGGAAGGATTTGAGTCCATAGGGACCTCTGACTTTCTACTGAAACTATTTTGCAAGAAAATGGGTATTTAAAATCTTGTCCACTCTATAGAAAAGATAACATAAAAACATTAAGTTATATTAACCGATGGCATATTAAACCATTTTTCCTCTCAGCAAATTCAACATTCCTGATTCTTAGCAATTTATACAGCATTTCTGTAACATTCTACTGGCTCTCATTAATTAATATAAATAATATTTTTGGCATGTGTTAATTTTATATTTTTATGACAGCCATAATTTTACCTTTTGGAAAATTATACTTCAGCACCACTAAAATTAATTTCCCAATTTATTATTGGATTGCACCCAGCAATTTGAAAACCAGTGTAGGGGCGCCTGGGTGGCTCAGTGGGTTAAAGCCTCTGCCTTCTGCTCAGGTCATGATCCCAGGGTCCTGGAATCGAGTCCCACATAGAGCCCCACATCCGGCTCTATGCTCAGCAGGGATCCTGCTTCCCCCACTTCTCTCTCTGCCTGCTTCTCTCACCTACTTGCAATCTCTGTCAAATAAATAAATAAAATCTTTAAAAAGAGAAAACCAATGTATATACATGGGAGCAGAACTGCTGGAATATATGGCATGTACATCTTAAATTGCACTAGAAAATACCTCCTTTCAAAACTCCAACCTATTTACATTCCCACCAGTAGTGAATGAGGTCCCTTCCTCCACAGTCGTGCCAACCCTTAATATCATTAGATGGTTAAATTTTGTATAACCTGGTGAGTGTAAAATGTTTCATTTTGTTATAATTTACATTACCTGATCACTTATGAGATCAGGCATTAAAAAGATGTTTATAAGATGCTACAGACTAAATTGTGTCTGTGCCCTGCCCCCCAAAATTCATGTTGAAGTCCTAACTTACAATATGATGGTGTTTGGAGGTGAGGCCTTTGGGAGGTAATTAGGGTAAAATGAGATCAGGGGAATGGGTCCCCCTTGATGGGATTAGTGATTTTATAAAAGAAATACCAGAAAACTTGTTTCTTTCCTCTCTCCCTTTCTCTTTCCACCCCTCTTTCTCCCCTTAAATCCGCTAACTCACTACGCCCACGAAGAGGTCAAGTAAGCACACAGAGGTGGTAGCTAACTATAAACCAAGAGAGAAGCCTCAGAATGAAACCTACCTTGTTGACACTTTCATCTTGGACTTCCAAGCCTCCAGAACTATGAGAAGTAAATTTCTGTTGTTTAAGCAACCCAGTCTGTGATAGCTTGTTATGTTAGTCTAAGCAGGCTAACACGTAGCCAACTGAGTTTCTTTTCCCATGAAATGGCTATTTATGTCTTTTGTCCTTTTTTTCTAGTTAAGTTTTTTAAAATTGATTTTTAGGAGGTTTTTTTTTTATTATAGGTGCAATCATTTTATTGCTATTCACTTTACCGTGCTTCACAGGTACTGCATTTTTTACAAATTGAAAGTCTGTGGCAACCCTCATCAAGCAATTCTCTTGGCACCATTTTTCCAAAAGCATTTGCTCACTTTGTGTCTCTGTGTCACATTTTAGTAATTTTTGGAATATCTCAAATTTTTCATGTTATTATTGTATTTGTTATGGATATCTATTATCAGTGATTATGATTCATTAAAAGTTCAGATGATGATTGGCATTTTTTAGCAATAAAGTATTTTTAAATTAAGATATGTGCTTTTTTAAGACAAAATGCTATTACATACTTAATAAACGACCATATAGTCTATTTATTTAGTTAGTTTATTTATTTTTTTTAAAGATTTTATTTATTTATTTGACAGAGAGAGAAAGAGCACAAGCAGGGGGAGTGGCAGAGGGAGAGGGAGAAGCAGCCTCCCTGCTGAGTAGGGAGCCTGCTGTGGGGATCAGACCTGAGCCAAACGCAGATGTTTAACCAACTGAGCCACCCAGGTGCCCTAAATGTGTAAATGTGTATATATATGTATATATGCTTATAAGCATATATATAAAAAATGTATATGTATATTTTAAACATAACTTGTGTATGCACTGGGAAGCCAAAAAATTCATTTAATTCATATTAGTACAATATTTGCACTGAACCCATCATATCCCCAAGGTATGGGTATATATGTGTTACCAGTATTTTCTTTCTATTTGTGGTTTGTCTAGATCTTTCATTTCTTGTCTTCTTGTCTCTTTCGATAAGTGAAAGTTCGTAATTTTACCAATTTATCAGCCTATTTATGTTTTGCACTTTTGAGGTGTTGCTTAAGAAATTTTTCCTCTCTCCAGTGTCAAAGATGTTATTTTATATTTCCTTCTAAAAGTGTTAGAATTTGGAGCACCTGGGTGGCTGAGTTGGTTAAGCGTTTGCCTTTGGCTCAGGTCATGATCTCAGGGTTCTGGGATCGAGTCCCACATCAGGCTTTCTGCTCAGTGGGGGCCTGCTTCCCACTCTCTCTCTCTGCCTGCCTCTCTGCCTACTTGTGATCTCTCTCTCTGTGTCAAATAAATAAATAAAATCTTGAAAAAAATTTAAAACTTTTCTGAAAAATAAAAAAACAAGTGTTATAATTTTATTTTTCACATTTAAGTCACTAGGAATCGATTTTTTTAAAGATCTTATTTATTTATTTATTTATTTATTTGAGAGAGAGAGTGAGAAAGAACCAGACTCCCTGCTAAGCAGAGAGCCTGGTGCGGGGCTCGATCCCAGGACCCTGAGATCATGACCCGAGCCAAAAGCAGGCACTTGATGGACTGAGCCACCCAGGCACTCCAGGAACCAATTTTTCCAAGTAGATTAAGATAGGTGTTCAATTTCTTTTTTTATTAATATGCATAAGCAGTTATCACAACAGTATTTATTGAATAGTTCATATTTCCCCACTAATCTGAAATGCCAGATCTCCTTTTTTACATTTCCTTTAGGCCTGGGATCAATTCTCTGTTCAATTTCTTGGTCTATTCATCCATGCCCTACTGTTTTAATTACTATAGTTTTGTAATAAGTCTGGAAGGACAAGGTTCCACTGTGTTCTTCTTCAGCAGTGTCTTGGCTGTTCCTGGGACTCTTGGTTCTTCTACAAGGATTTTAGAACAACCTTGTCAAGTTGTACACACACATATATGCAAGGTGGGGGTTCTATTAGAATTTCAGTAACTCTGTAGGACAATTTGGAGAGAAATAACATCTTTATAACATTGGGTATTCTTATCCATTAACAAAATTAAATTTTATATATTTTTATATTTTTTAAGTTTTTATTTATGTAATCTCTACACCCAATGTGGGGCTCGAACTCACAACCCTGAAATCAAGAGTTGCATGCTCTTCCCTTGAACCAGTCAGACTTCCTTAAATTTCAGAAATTTTAGAAGTTTTATAACTTTATCCATAAGGGTCTTATATATCTTTTATTAAATTTGTTCCTAAGTACTTTTATCTTTGTGTTATCATACGTTATATCTTTTTAAGAATTACACTTTATGTTTGTTGG